TTACTTCGAGAAAGTAGAGCGTTACACGTTGGACCTGGTTAGCAAGGTCCGCTCTGACGCATTAGATGCGTGTTGGAGGGCAGGTTTGAAACGATCATCCTTGTCAACAAGACATACATTCACCTGAGGCTGGAATGCATGTATTTTGACTAGCATTTCCATATGCATGCTGTAACTTCACTCACCATGTTCTCGCTTTGTTAGTGGTTGAAAATATAATCATTATAGCCAACCAAACACGCAAATTGTGTCACATCATCGTCGTGATATTTTGAATACAAGTAACGTTATGGATGAATGAATAATGCGAAAGGACGGACCAATGTCATTGTTTATTGACGGACCAATGTCATTGTTCTCTGTCTACTAGTAATTTCAGGAGGCTGCGGGAAATAATCAACTTTTCGATCCTCAAACGATATGGTAATACAGTACATTGTTCATCATCACCATACAACACACTAGAATCAAATCGAGTTCATCCTGAAAAGAAAGCAGTGGTGCACTGCTTTTAATTGCCATTTTGAATTGTGCTGACAGGTGAGTTGCTGGACTGTATAGAAAACGGTTGCATAACTTTTAAAAATATGATATTTAAATCTTAAAAAATTATAACATAACACATCAATGTATGCTATAAATTATAGCTCAAGATGACAATAATTGTTTGTCGTCTTTAAGCATCTCCACCGCATCCCAACTCGCCGGATGGACGCGAGCACGGAGGTGGCCACAGAGTTGGGATGCGGTGGATATGCTCTTATATTTGAAGCTAACGCCAAAATGCTGTCTTTTATGTGCTGCTTCGTGGCTCAGAGATCACCGATCAACGCATGAACATGGTAGCAAGTACAGCAGCATTGATACTACGTAATAAAGCGGCATGGACGGTATTACGATGCTTATTGCAGGATATAATCACACCCAAAGTAAGTTATATTTCAGTTTTTTGGCATGTTTGAGGTCACTTCACGCATGCTAAATAAGTGCAATCGCCGCATACTACATCTTGTTGTGTAGCCCGCAACCATGCCTTCAGTTTTCATAATAAATGTTTCACGCTCATCAGATGTACCGTTGCTGAGCAATTCAACGACAAAGTCATGTACTTTCTCGATAGTTGATGTTAACTTGTAAACTTGATGCTATATTTCGATGTTATCTTGTTAAATTATGAAATACTTATTTTATATTAAAAATACATAACGGTATTCTCGTGGAATGTAGTGGATACTTTTCCAAAAAGCATCGTAGCTGGCGGCCAAAATTTGAAGTCCATACATACAGGTTTTAAACAGAGGAATCTAATACAAAGTTGACTTGCATTAAAACTCGTCTCCTTCGTCTAGACATGCTTTCATTCTCCTTATGTCGCTGAGGATGGCTACGTTCGTCATTTCCCGTAACCTCCAGCCAATCATACAACATTAATTTTGAACTAGCCAATTATACGTATTCAGCATATAATTGCTGTCCAATAGTATCGGTTTGTGATACACCATCTTCAAGTGGAGGTCACATGTACGGCAACGTAAAAAACCAATAAGAAAACTTTTTTGGACGTGTCGGAGTAGAATGGACATAAATATTAGACAGATTTCGCAAACGTCAGTTCTATATTGGCAAGGGGTGTGTACAGGTTTATGCTATACTCGGTTTTCACTGGCTAACGTCGTATGTGGATTTCAACCAATCCAAGCACGTCGTGGCCGGCTAAGTCCGCCTAACAGTAAGGTATTAATAGTGGTACTGTACTATTAATATGTAGTAAGTCGCGACAAATGCACGGCAAGGTCATCATGTACAATGTATTTTGAAGTACTTACTAGTACGCGGGGCACTTCATTTTGTGGGGAATTCCTGATACCGTCTCGTCGCGTTTGCGCTTCTTGTTACGTCCAGTCCGTTGTGGCCCAAGCACGCATCAAACGACTCGGTCACGTAGCGATCGGATGGACGGTCGTGGTCGTGTGGCTTGGCACCAGTTTCGGCTTCGAAAATGTCCTCCATTCGGCGCATCACAGTAACCACGGGATCGTCCTGCGCACCAAAATGCGGAGGCTGCATGCCTAACGCGGTGCTAGATTCGGGCAATCTCGAAGCGATGCGACTGGTGTACTGGTCCCCCGCAGGCGCGTAATGAATGTAACCCGTGGTGCAGCCTGACGTTTCGAACGTCACGGTGCCCTTGCGGATCGAGTGTGTTGCCACGTTAGGGAGTCCGTCGACGCCGTCCAACGCAACCAGTATTTGTTGGTGAAACCAAGTCGCCGTTGGACGTTGCCGTCGCTATCATCGCCGCCGTCGCGCTTCCATTCAGTGCGAGACCTGGTGCTGATGCGGTCATTGCCTCGTTGGTAAACGTCGTCGTCGTCTCCCACGCATACTGTATATATATACTAGTACTGTGCTACCATACAGTAGTAATCATGACAGGGCAGGTGTCTCACACATAAACACAACGGCACCGGCCCACGCGATTTGTCCGTAAATCGAACCATCTCGACGTGCCATTGGCTCCCTTCGCGTGCACGAAAGGGCAATACCCATAGTGGGGGGAAAGTGCGGCAGTCGAATCCAATACAAACTCCAAGTCAAACTCGACCACCTCCCACCTGCGATGACGCACGAAATACTTGAAAACCCTGCACGTTACCGGATAGCGTGGACGAAACAAGGTAAATACCTGCACATGTCCCATAGATTCCCCATTTGCTGTATCCGCATAAATGGTGAGTTTTCTAGTGTAACCGGATTCATCGACATCTCGCCGCAAGAGAAGCTTCCGGGTGATCCAAGAGTCATCAACTCTACTTCGCACCCGAGGGTATCTCATACCACTTCCTGTAACGGCGAACCCGTACGTGGAGAAGCGGCGGCTGCGGGAGAGGTCGAGTGTGCGAAGGCTGCTATTGCAAGCGGTCAAGCAGAGGACGATGGCGGCGTACACGTCGTCTGTCACAAGCGAGCCGAGGTGGAGATCTTTGAACTGCCGAGATGTCGCCGCTCGCAATGCCACCGCCACGTGGTCTGGTTCACATGAATTTTTGTTCAAATTGAAGCTTGTGGCGGTGGAATCCACGAACAATCCGCGCAAGCTGGCAGGCGGAAGCTTTGGCGCGGCGAAGAAGTTGGTTCTTTCCCCGGCGGACACGAGCATCCCCGTGACCCCAACGTCTGCCAATAGCAGGCAGCGCGCCGCCAGCTCGAATGGACGGGGAACCATTTCTCCGTCAATGTACAGGCAGTGCAAACAGGCACGCACGAACGCTTCGACGTCCGTGGTAAGCGTCTTCCACACAAACTTGTCGGACACCGACTTGGTTGTCGCTGCGATGCGACGGTGACCGCTGGCTCCTTGGTGAGCGATCACACAAATCCGCTGCTGTAGGTCGACAGCACCGTCTGGGATCCAGATTCGTCCGTCTGGGGCCACGTAAAAATGGGAGTCGTCGTCCCAATCCACGTCGTTTAGGGGGGTCCCTCCCCCTTCCATGGTTGAACGTTGGATGCCGCTGATCGTAGCGGCTGTCGGCCACTCGAAATCCCTTGTTGCAGGGGCGACACCACATAGATCAACTTGCGAACATTCGCAACTGGTTGATTCGCCGGAGCCGAACCCCATCGGCTCAGGAGGTCGCCCCATACGTTCGCGTCACCCGAGACGCACCAATGATGTACGGGAAGGTCGACATCACTAGCGACCATCGCTGCAGCTTGTCGGCCTGGTACTTGGCCATGTTGGCGTTCGAGCCACTTGGATTGAAGATGTACACCAGGGAGGATAAAATATTGCCACATAAGAATTGCTGAGGACCACATAGGAATTGCTGAGAGCCACATAAGAATTGCTGAATCGCACATAGTTTCTGCTGATGGACACATGAGATTTGCTGAATTGAATATAGAGTATGTTACTCAGCGAGATCCACTTCGCAGACAGTGCGTTATGAGAATTTCTGGACACGTGTGACTATTAGCAATGTGATTGGTTAATTAAACTCACATATGAAGGAAATCACGAAATACCTTAAACTTATCGTCGGCCCTATGAC